ACTTTCACTTCAATAAAGACATAAGAATTATTCAGTATTTTTACCTTCCTAACCCTTTACATAGTATCAGAGATAGGGTTAGGGTTAAGGTTTTAGGGATCAGATTATATCAGACAAAAATAAGGGTTGAATAACTCATTCCCGACAGCGGAGGAAGTCAACCAGCAATCTTCGTCCAGTTCAGAGTGCAGCCAGCACGGTGGTGTACACGGGAGAAGCCGAGACGGCAGTTGGAGGCTATGTGCGTCGGGTTTGCCGGAGGAGGGTATTTTTGTGTGTTTTGCTTTCTCGTTCAAGGACAGAAGCTATCAAGGAGCTTGGGCGGCCGGTTCTATGCACGAAACCAGAGGGTCAGAGAAGAGAAAACCGCCGCAAAGCAGATTGTGTGACAGCAAGTTTGTTTTGAGTTTTCCGGTGCGATTCAAGGTATTTTCGCGAGCTCCTTCTGGATTTCAATTGTCCGGTGGGGTTTGTGGTGATTTCCGGCTGAAAGAAGGCATTTTGGTGATTTTGGCGGCGGCGCGTGGCATTCCAACAGCTGTGCATGAACTTCGGCGGCAGTGCGTGCAGTGGTGCGTGAGCTCCGGTGGTGGCAGTAAGATTCTGGTAGGATTGTTGAAAGCTATGCATGAAGAGATAATCTATTTTCTCAAATTTTTTGGTATATTTGCAGTGTTTTCCGGATATCTCTGATTGTTGGGTTTTGGGTATTCTGAGTGGCATATTTTTAGTTCTTGTATTAAAATGGATGATAATATAGTCTGCTATTACTACCGTGAACAAGAGCATATAAAATAATATTGTAAAAAATTGCAGAATCTTAATCAAATGACACAGACCGCTAATATTATTGTTGCTACTGCTACCTCATCCTCTAAAAGAATTGTTATGATTTCAACTTATGAGTATGCTAAATTCACTCAGCATCGAGAATCTTTAAATAAATTTTCTACTTTTGCTGAATCAGAGAAAAAATGTCTTATCTCCTCCTCAAATAGATGAGTGATTGATTCTGGTGTTACAGATCACATGACAGGTAATCCTAATATTTTTTCTAATTTTAGACCACACAGAACATTTTTTCCTATAACTGTTGTTGATGGGTCAACATATAATATTATGGGATCAGAGATCACAAAACCAACATCATTTATTACTCTATCATCTGTATTAAGTCTACCTAAACTCGCTTTCAATCTGATCTCTGTAAGTAAGCTTACTAAATATTTGAATTAGTGTATTATATTTTTTCCTGTATTCTTCAAAATCTTATGATGAAACAGATTATTAGTAAAGTAAATATGTCAGGTGGTCTTTACATTCTTAATACATGGGTACCTCGATCAATTGTCTACTTTAGTATTATCTCTCTATTTGAAGCATATTATCAATTGGGACATTCATCTCTACCTGTATTGAAAAAATTATGTCCTCAGTTTCATAATGTAGTCTCACTAGATTGTGAGTCATGTTGGTTTGTAAAACATCATTGTAATCCATCAGGTACAGGGTGAATAGACAAGCTGAATCTGCCTTTGAGGTAGTTCATTTTGATGTTTAGAGACTCTGTCTTATTCCGTCCAAAACTAGGTTCAAGTATTTCGTTATTTTTGTGGATGATTTTTCTCGAATGACTAGAATATATTTTATAAAAAATCGTTCGAAAATATTCTCTCACTTTTATGCTTTCTGTGTTGAAGTCAAAACATAATTCAATGTTTCGGTATATATATTGAGCAGTGATAATGTCAAATAATATATGTCAGATTTATTTCAAAACTATATGATACAACATGCGATCCTTCAGCGATTCTCGTGTGTTGATACACCATCTCAAAATGAGATCGCTAACAGAAAGAACAGACATTTACTTGACACAGTTCGAGCCATCTTGTTCTAAACACAAGTCCCTAAGCAATTATGGGCTGATACCGTTTCTACAACTTGTTTCTTAATTAATCATATGACATCTAAGTGCTTGATGGAACGTTCCCTATAGTCTTCTTTTTCCAAACAAGCTTTATTTCCAGTGCAACCTAACATATTTAGTAGTATCTATTATTTTGAGATGTGCGACCTACTGTGACAAAATTGAACCTAAGAGCCTTGAAGTGTTTATTTTTTAGATATTCTCACCTCCAAAAAAGATACAGGTGCTACTCTCCAAATCTTAATAAATATTTAATATTAACTGATGTGGTTTTTTCAAAAAATATATCGTTCTTCTTCTCATTGTCCAAGTCTACAACTTAGGAGATGGGCAACGAGTGGTTCATCTATAGTTTCACACTAGGTGTCTCTACTAAACAAACATATAAAAGCGTTCCTCCAGCTACACTTGAGCAAATTGATGATAGTGTTTGTGTGCCTCTGACCCAAATAGCACTGCCAATTGTCCATATTTATTCCAGAAGACAATAAACTAATTATACATATCCTGCACCAAATCCGTCGTCATCTGATTCTGCCTCACAAGACCTTGATCTTCCTATTGATCTCCATAAAGGTAAACGTCAACGTATACACCCCAACACCAACTTCTCTTATTGCTAATTTTATATCATATGACCATATGCCTCTCTCGTCGAGAGCTTTAATTACTTATATAGATTCAACTTTTATACCCAAAAAAATTAACGAGGCTTTGAATCATTCTGGTTGGCATAATGCTATGTTTGAGAGATAAATGTTCTTGATGATAATCATACCTGAAATCTGATAGATTTACCCAAAAGAAAAAGGCTACACGTGCAAATATGTATTTGCAATC